TATCAGCAGAGGTCTCAAATATGTTTGGTATGCTAGTTAAAGTCAACAGGTGAACAGTGCGGACCAGGTGAGCAGGTCAGGGGTGAGCCCGAGCTCATAAAAAACTTTGTGGAGTCCCTACTCTCTCTCCTGTACTTCCTGGGCGCTCTAGCCCAGCCCTTCCAGCCCACTCCAGTAACTGAGTCTCAGCCCCACCCCCTTGGCGCCACAGCTCTACCAAATGGAGAAGAAATTCCCTTCCCTCAGACTCTTGGCTCCTGCAGGCTCCTAATGGCAGCCGAGGGATTAGCTGGGGCTCCAGCACGAGAAATGGATGAGGAGGAGAGCAAAAAAAGGGGATGGTCCCCACCCTGAGCTCTAGCCCTTCTGTTTTTGTTCTGCAAGCCTGGCCTCTCCGGGGCCTCTGCACCACTGTGCTCACTTGCGCAACTGGGGCTGTGCTGCCTTCTGGCTGGGAGATACCCGAGGAATACAAACATGGTAAACTCACCACTTCAGCTGGACTTAGAATCCCGGCGTTCTCCCCGACCTGCTTGGTGCTATTTACCTCTTCGCGTCTTCTGGTGGCTGTGACGCGCGTGCTGTCCGGGTTTCCTTGCTGTGCTCAGTGAGAACAAAAGGAAGGTGTGTGTTAACTCCACTTACATCTGGAACACAAACCTTCCCTACGATACTAAAAGCTAGAGAACGTGTAGAACATTATTACGTACTTGTGCACCCCACCAAAGAGCGTCTGTGTAACTCCGTAGATAAGTGTTTGGAGAAAAGGTCTGTGAGTTCACGTACCCAAGTTAACACTCTTTTCCTCTTCGAAGGGGGGCAGAACTTTGGTGAAGGGGGGGGGACCTGGAAGAACCTCCACTTTTGACACTCTGCTGCTTTTTAAATTATTTTAACAATGCACTATTGCTTTGGTAATTTTCAAAATAGGAAGGTGTGAGGGAAACAACAAGGAAAAATTTATAGTTCAACTTAAAGGGTATATACAGAAAGTATCTTTGCTGGGTATGACACATCTTGTGAAACATCGGTCTGATGAAAAATCCATTTAGGAGCCAACATGATCATACATTTTCTTCAACCACTGATGTCCTAATCAGATTTCCCACAAAACAGAAATTTTAGCCTGCAGGATGAATTAACTTTATTCACATTTTCCAAGTAATTGCAGTATTAAGTATAAGCTAAAAGCAATACATAGTTCTTAGAAAATACAACCCCAAATTCTCATCGCCTGAGCTTTGTGATTACAGGTGCCCAGCCTCTGCTCCTTCAGAATGTTAAAGTGAAGTCCGACTCAAAACAAACATAACGACATGGGGAGACTGTTCTTAAGTACAGTTTTGCTAATTATAAAAGAAATCCAAAAAGAGGCTTCCAGTGTCTTCATGCAGGTGTCCTTTCGTCAAAATGGAAATAAGTATTAGAGAAGTAACTTATCTCCATCTCACACTAGTAGGCTTGAAGGGAGCAAATCTGGGCCAATAATCTAGACATGGTTCCTTGCATAGAATTTGGTATTAAGCAGATACTCACACTGAATAACTCCCTATTCATTCTGTTGTACGAAAATCCATTTCAAATGCAAACATTTTGAAATGATCGGGTCACGTCGTTAGGATCCCTCTTTAAATATTGAAGTAACTTATCACCAGACTATAGTAAGGACCTTATGAGTCAGGCATTAGCATTTTACTATCAAACCAAATACAGAATCCAGATAAATAAACATTAGCACCATTTTTAATTTAGTCCAGGGTAAAACCATCCACGAAACTATTTTTTTACTGAAGCAGTCGACAAGAAAAGTTGTTTTCACGTCTAACATATGCTTTGCCTCTCTCCCTCTTTGCCAATGATACTTTTAAACATTTTAAATACCAAATACTACAGCATTCCATTTTTAAAGTTTATGCTCAGTCCAGCATTTCAAGTTAAAAGGAGGAGGGGAATCACCACAGATTTTTTTAAACCCCACCAATAGCACAGATTTGTTTTGGAAGGTGATTTCTAACAATGCACAGACGCCCTTCATGCAATTTAGCTGCAATTCAGTTGGAGTGACCTTGCATACACACCTTTCAAGTTATTAGCAATTTTTATTGAATGAAACAATGACAAAGCAATTACATATATGAAGTGCCATTAATATATGCCCACTACATCAGGAGCAACTAAGACAACCTACACCCTATTATAGGTTTAGTAAACTTTAAAAAATGTATATGTGTGCTTAGAAATGTTATGGCAGTGGAGGGGTCCATATATATACAGATATATATAGATACATATATAAAACCAGAAGTACCCAGGCTTCTGATACTCCTGCATAAGAGCAGCCTTCTAGGTTTTAAGAGAAAGAAAAAAGAAAGAACTGATTCCTATTTACTTCTCATCCACCTTGGTCCAGGGAACTGCTAGCTGTTTTTCAGGATTCTATTACTGTTTTTAATAAAAGTAACATAGCAAACATGTTTATGGCCAACAGTTTTAATTTTAAAGCCAAAATATAAAAGCGTCTTATGTAGCAGTTACTTAATTCTATCTTTCTAAGTGTCACTGGAATCTCCAACAGTTTTAAACTTTTCAACATGAAAGGTAATTTTAAAAAACTATCTTCCTGTCTTCCAATGTGTCCCATGAACTAGGAACATGGTTACAAATACATGAGTTTCTAGAGTGAGAAGGAAAAAGTAAGACCATTGAATTGTTACCACCTAAAAAAACATCCTGGGCTCAAAGGGTAATTTTCACCCCTAAAAAGAAGACACCTTAACCAACTAATGGCTTGGGCGTGGGAAGGGCACTCACAATTAATTCAGATTGATTTTTTGTTCATGCACATTAAAAGTACTTTAAAAAGCTTGTTCATTTGTCCTCTACTTAAAAAGGGGGACAACTGGTCAATATTGCCTTCTAGGTTTTATTTCTATCTGGAGTTTTCAGTAGTAAGCACATTATATCCGAGTCTGTCTCTGATGGAGAGAGTCTGGCTTGGTCAAAGCCTAGAGGAAGTTGGGTTTCTAAGGCAGCCCATCGGTGGGGGGCCTGAGCCACTCCCAAGGGTAGCTTCCCTAAGATTGTCGGGCGCAACAGGAACGTTTGAGCTTCATGGCTAAAACCAAACATGCAAGAAGTGGTCGGAAAGGAACAGTTTTTACAGGCAGCGACACCATCACTACGCCACAGTAATCTCACCTTCAGGTACTCGCAGTGGTTAAGGACTTTAATATAATTACAGCAGTGTTCACCAGAATTATTAGCAAGGTCATTTGGACCAACATACAGAACTTCCTGTTAAATAGACATCTCAATGATTAGAAGAGCTCTCTATGTAAAAGAATTCACTGCAAAACAATGCAAATGTTTAAAAAGTATTTTTTTTAAAGCTCATGATTAAGTGAGTTCTCCAAGCTCAATACGGTTGTAAGAGGACACTGTGTGAAGACTTTATGTGGAGTAAAACGTATTTGTGTTCTAAAACTTGACAGCAGGGGTGCCTGGCTGGCTCACTCAGCAGAGCATGCGACCCTTGCTCAGAGGGTCATGAGTTCAAGTCCCACGCTGGGTGTGAAGCCTACTTAAAAACAAAAGTGAAAACTGACCATAATACTTCAAAGATACAGAGTAAAAATATCAAGGAAATATTCAACCTCACATCTAATGGCAGAGTTTATTCACCTGTCTCCAGCTGCCCACCTGGCCTAGGCAGAGGCCTTTTTTCTCTCTTATAGAGAATTTAGCCCTCATCCTTCCTGTAGATTCCTGTATCTGCTGGGTAGAAACCAGCATTTCTCAAAACCATCTTCTACCCCAAGAGTAAATGTACCAGGGAAGGAGAACCTCGTTTACACACTCACATCTGTGCCTTGACACACACTACTATTCTCCCACTGCACGTTCTCTGTAAGGCCTACTGGCTAGGAATCCAGGAGTAACACGTTTTGGCCAAAAGTCTGAGTAACGTACAGCGTCAAAGCTTTGTTATGAATGAGTCTGTAGAGAGAAAATGCAGAAAGGAGGGGTAAGCCACATCTCTAATTGGTATCTTAATAACTGCCCCCTGTCCCCAATGAGCAGGACAATCTCAACATAATTACATAAATTTCACATTGTAAGTTCTAAATGTCACTGCCATTATAGATGAGGCGAAAATCCACAGTAAGTTATGTGCCAAAACACCCAATGCAGTGAGGAACTGATTCCCCGTTATGTGCTCAAAAAAAAAAAAAAAAAAAAAAAAAAAAATTGCAATAATAATAGAAAAAGTTTCCAAAGAAACTTCGGTACTACTCTAAAGACACAGCAGTGGCACTTCATTCATTGGAATGCATTCGATCTATTGAGCTATGAAATAAGTGCCTCGATGACAATTTAAAGAGAAAAGAGGACCCTCACCCAACCCAGAGAATTCTTAAATACCACAGTCTATGTGACGTGGGGCCAAAACCAAAACACAAGTAAGTTCTGGTTTCACTGCGCAAGGAGTCAGTATTAGTGCTGAAACTCACTTGACAAGCTGCTCTTCCACAAGAAAACTCCACATAAGGAAAATGGGTCTCAAGCTGCAAGTCGGGACGACCTTACTGGCTACGGGGTCTGGGAAGGGGTGAGAACAGGAAGGAAATGGGCTCCAGCTAAGCTGGCGGAAATACCGAGTGCGAAGCATCTGTAGCCACTTAAAGGCATTCGGTGTCGGTGTCTGAAAAGATTAAGATGCTTTAAAACAAAACCCTTGTAAGAATATCAAATATTTAGGGAATTAGCTTCAGAAATACCCAAATGTCTATGGCTTCAACTGTCGCCCTACTGCTGAGGTAGGTGACCAGGATCCAGCGAAACAGAGCAGTCTTCGGGTAATTCCCCACGGAAAACGCCGGCTCATCGCTGGTTTCTTAAACCTGTGTCTGTTTTCCTCTGATGGTTTTTCTTTTGTTCTGCTTCTTCTTTCTTCCGCTGACACTTTTTCGAAGAGGCTGTCCCAGCAGCCATTCCTGCCTTCAGGCCCGTGCTGAGTAGCATCTCATGTACTCCGTCACCCATGGGTTCTCCGAGGGCGGAGGCTTTGTCCTCCGGTTCTTCTCCACCTCCACGGAGTGGGCGCGCTGCCTCTGAGTGCCCGGTTTCCGTTTTCCCACCTGTCTTCTGTTCTTGGCTCGTAATGCCGACTCATGAATCTAAGTTATTCAAAATAAACACCGGTTATTTCCACAATAAATGCATAATAACTTACGTGGCTTTTGTAACCATTTCCAAGAGTATCTGTAACGAACGAAGCTAGGCACAGGTCGCCTGAAGCCCGGCAGAGGCAAGCCTGGCCCTGAGCGTGACAGTTTCTCCAGAACAGCCGTCCCCTCGCCCACTGTCAGCGACCAAGACGCTAAACCACCAAAAACAGCCACAGGACTGAATTTTAGTTAGAAATGCAAGCAACCAATTTGCAAAGTGCCTCTAGAAAATGGCTCTGGAAAATTATTGAAAAAGTTAGCATTAAGCCTGGATAAGTATTCCGTTAAAGGACTTTAAATGTTTTATAACAACATACTACACAAAAAAAAGCAAAAAGTCTCCAGGGATTTTTACCACTTAAAACATTTCATACTACAGAAAAACTCTCTTAAACTTAATCCCAGAGTCTTTTGTTAAAGCACAGCTTCATTGTCTCAAATATCACTCCAGAAAACACCATCTGCTAGGGCTCGTGCAGAAGTCCGTTCAGTGTAAATCTGATGATGGTATTTCATCAGAATTCAAACTGTTCGTACTTTCTGCTTCTTTTCATTCATTCCTTGCTTTAGGCTGTAGTGGCGGTGTTGACACTAATGTCCATAACTGCTCTGGGGCTCCACGCACCGAGACCTCTGGTCAGACACGTTATCAGGACCAAGAGGATGACGAAGACTCCAAGAAGCAGGGGGCACCCGGTACAGACGAGTAGGGGAAAACACGAGATCACACCGAATGCAAAGGGGAAAAGGGAGTCTACGGTAGATGCCAAGAACTACAGTAGACGCCAACCAACAAAAGAAAACAAAGGAGTCAAGGAACACCAGTTATCAAAGCCAAAGGACTGGAAACCTCTCAAGAGGCCCATGGCAAATCTAGGGGCTGCCGCCAGCCCAGGTCGTGCTCCTCCTCCCTTGACCTACTGGCCCCCCAGGAGCCTGAAAACCCTGACCCCAGCCACTTCTTCACCTGCCTCCATATTGGTAAACCTTCCAGATCCCAGCTAACCCCCAGCAAAACCCCTCAATCTCCAGGAAGCTAACACCCAGACTTCTGCTTGCCAACTAGATGCCCGGGTCTGGGCTCTCCTTGGCCCCCCGCCATCCTTGAAGACCTACTGTGACCCCAAACCATCGCAGTAAACACAGGACATACTCACGGCACAGACCCCAACTCCCACCTTCCCAGGAAAGGGAGGGAGGGCGGGTGCACGGGACCCACCTCGTGGACCGGAGCCGACGCACAGACATTGTGAGTTTTCTGGCTTCCTGTATCCGTCTGCTTTTCTCCCCACCCATAAAGGGCAAATGGATGCTTGTTCTCTTTTATTTTACTCGATGATCTTTGAGGACTTTTGACTGCTTTCCTATTTCCTCTGGCAAATAAGGCACTTGGTTGCTGTCGAGGTTCAGTACTGTTAGGTAACTTCTCAGTCTCTTTTGTTCTGATCTCTTGTTCAGGTTTTTCTTTGATATCTTTCACGGGCGGGGCTTTTGGAAAAATGGAGATAAAACAAAATGAGAATGCTTTCAAACCATGGTTCTACATAATTACTTTAAACATTTGGGTTGTAAAATTCAGAATGCTTAATTCAGTAACTTGTTCACTTATAGCTCAATTCATAATTTCCTGGAAAGCAGAAATACAGAAACAAGTTAGTATCATACTTTTCAGTCTCTCCCGTTTTAAAATCAACAACAAATACATCACTATTGAACCAAGCCTATTCAAAAGCAACAACTGTTATGTGTATTCTGTTTTTTAAAAAGATTTATCTATTTATTTTAGAGGGAGGGGGACAGGTGAGGGGAGAGGGAGAATCCCAAGCAGGCAGAGCCCAAAAGAGGGCTCGAACTCATGACCCGAGCCAAAATCAAGAGTCGGGCGCTCAACCCACTGAGCCACCCAGGAGCCCCTGTGACTCATATTCTGAGGTTAAGCATCTTAATTAAATATTAACAGCTAGAAAGCACCACAGCAAAGCACCACAGCCTAACAGCTTTCTCCACAACCCCAAAGTAGGTCCAGTCGTCACTGTCTTGCTTCAGAGAATGATCTGGATTTGTGGTAATCACCCAGCGGCTGCAAAAGGTTAGTTTTTAAGTTACTCAACTAGAGTTCCAGGATTCCATTTCTTCCTGAGGCACCACGATTATGGAAAGCTCCTGATGGCACTTACACACTCAATTTCATGTCTTTCTGCTGTTCCATGACTATGGAGAGCTCCCTAGGACTCTTACTTGCTCCTTGTAAGAGCCAGCTGGTGACCTCAGTCACAATAGGGAGTGGTTTCCATAGTTACTGGTGCTCAGCTCCACATTCCCAGGGTGAAGAGCTGGACAGAAGGGCTCCCGCAACGCTTGTGACAGAAATGACCGCATGAATCAGAACCCACGGTCTACACTGTCCTAAATTCTGTCAGAGGAGCTGGAGGAACTCTGAAGGAAAATCGGACTGCCCTGCTTGAGGTCAACACTGGACATTAAGGATACGCTCTAAAACATACGCACTTCCCTAACATGAGTTTCATTATTTTTTTATAAACCTTTTATCTTTTATAAAAGTTAAATGGCTTTGTTTAAACCCTTTGCAAGCTCATGTTTCATTTCAGCCCGGATTTATATTATTTGTATTGACATAAAACTTGTCTATAGCATTATATAAAGTTTGGGTATACAACATCATAATTTGGTATTTGTATTACACTGCAAAGTGATCACCACTGTAAGCCTAGTTACTGCCCATCACTGAGCAACTGACCCCCTTCACCCATTCTGCCCTCCCCCAGCTCCCTCTGGTAACCGCCCATTTGTTCTCTATCTATGAGTCTGTTTTTGTTTGTTGATTTGTCTTGCTTTTTAGATTGTACATATAGCTGAGACCATATGGTATTTGTCTCTCTTAGTCTGACTTATTTCACTGAGTATGAAACCCTTTAGAGACACCTATGTTGTTGCAAATGGGAGATTTCCTACTTCCTTGTGGCTACTCTGAGTAGTAGTCCGTCGTGTGTATGTATACACCTTCCGTCCTTTATCCACTCATCCATCAATGGCCACTTAGGTTGTCTCTATATCTTGGCTATGGTAAGTCATGCTGTGATAAACACAGGGTGCCTCTGTCTTTTCCAATGAGTGTGTTTGTAGTCTTCAGATAAAAACCCAGAAGTGGAATTGCTGGATCATATGGTTAGCTCTAGTCCTACTTTTGGGAGGAATCTCCATATTGTTTTCCATAGTGGCTGAACCAACTTATATTCCTACCAAGTGTGAGAGGGCTCCTTTTCTCCACATCCTTGCAATCCCTTTTATTTCTGCTTTTTGGTAACAGCAATTCTAACTGGTGTGAGGTGATATCTACAATTAGATATCACAACCACATCCATATCATAACACCATATCACCATATCATAACCATATCATAACCACAACTGGTTTTGACTTGCATTTCCCTGATAATTACTGATGTTTAACATCTTTTCATTTGGCTATTGGCCATCAGTATATCTTCTTTGGAAGAATGTCTATTCAGATCCTCTGCACATTTTTTAATTTGGGTCGTTTGGTTTTTGTTGTTGTTGCTGAGTTGTGGGAGTTCTGTATATATTTTGGGTATTTAACTCCTTAGATTGTACATATAGCTGAGCTATGTACAATCATATACATCATTTGCAAATATCTTCTCCCATTCAATAGGTTGCCTTTTTATTTCGTTGATGGTTTCCCTCGCTGTGCAGAAGCTTTTCAGTTTGTTGTAGTCCCATTTGTTTATTTTTTGCTTTTGTTTCCCTTGCTTTTGGAATCAGGTCCAAAAAACACATTGTGAAGACTGATGTCAAGGAGCTTACTGCCTGTGTTTTGTTCTAGGAATTTTATGGTTTCAGGTCTTTAATCCACTTGAGTTAATTTTAATGTCTGCTGTAAGACTGTGATCTAATTTCATTCTTTTGAGTAGGAGCTCCTTATGCATCTGGGGCATCATTTCACTTACCCTGGCTGTTTAAAGATCTCTAAGGTCTTAAGGATACCCCTCGCTTTTTATGTTCCAGAATTTGTCTCCAGGTGATAAGTTTATAGGTCGCTATTCCAAACCCTTGCCACTGCTTTAGGACATACTCTTGTCCCTTACTACTTTTAGCTGTGATTCTTTTCTTGTTTCTGTCCATGGTCCCTTTAGAGTGAGCTCCTGAATAGGAAGTCCAGATCCTGTGGCACAAGTGTAAGAAGCCTCGATAGATCACTGCCACTTCGGTCTTCAGCAATGACAACGACCTTGATTCTACCAGACTGTTTCATTTATTACTACACATTTTAAGAAACAGATAATGCACTGACCCTGGAGTTTAGTGCTTTGTACCACCGTGCCACATCTTTAAACATAGGCGTAAGCTGTTTGCGGATAAGGTGGGATACCGATCTTCCATCTTACCATGAGAACCTAAATCCATTCATTGCTCAAACATTCCTGAGTCATGTGTTCCCCACCTTGTTCTCTTCTCTTTTCTGGAAGAGGGGGAGAGGAGACCATCAAGACCAAGACAAAGGAAAATAGAAGGTTTGTGCAATCACAGGACTGAGAGAGAGGGAAAACAACCCGAATCATCATTGTTCAATTCCCTTCCTTCTCTTCTTGTCCCACTCTGTATGTGTCCAACCCAGGTCTGCCCGAGCAGCCAGCCCCGAGAAGGTCATAATGATGTAGTTTAAAGAACAAGCTAGCCTGGAAGAAAGCAGAAACGAGAATCTCAGCAAGGGGGAATGTCTTGTTCAAAGGCCTGGGAAAGAAGAGGAAGTCTAAATAGTTCAAAATGACAGGCACACGTAACGTCTGTGGAGCCGACAGCACTGAGTTTCTATGCCAAACTCAGGAGTAAGGCCTCTACCGTCGTGCAGGATGAGCTAGAGGTGAAGGTGAAGACCAGTAGTCATGGTGGAGGTGGGGAGGCAAAGAAGGACCAGAGGGACCTACCGAGCCCAGCAGGTGCAGACTCACGGGCACTTGTGAACTACACACGTATCAGAACAGCAGGGAGGTGGGGCCAAAGCCATCCCAGAGCGGCCAGCCCAGCAGCACTAGGTAAGACCGACCGGCGGACATGGACGCAGCACAGCACTGGGGACAAAGAGGAGGCTACAGCTCCCACAGGTGTTTGGAGTGGAGGGTCAGGCTAACTAACCTCCGATAAAAGGCCAAGGAAAGGATACTCGCCTCAGATGTGAAAGGCTTCTGGAACAAGCAAGCAGGCAGCAGCTGGACACTGACTCTGGGGCCCGGGAGAGAAGGCGGTGAGTGGGCAGGTGGGAGCTGGGATTTGCATGTGGAACAGATCACCCCAGAAGCAACGCCGGCAGAGAAGGGGAGAGTGGAGTCAGGCCCGTGGGACCATTATGTAAAGAGCAGCCAGGCAGAGGAAGGAGCCCCCAAAGGGCAAGAAAGAACTTCTAGAAAAGTAGAAAAACTAACCAGGTGAGCAAAGAAGGGAAGCGCTTCGGTAAAGAAGGTAGCAGTTAACAGGGCCAAATGAGACCGGGGGGGGGGGGGGGGGGCAGTAGGATGAGGAGGAAGAGACTTGGCATCTGGCAACCAAGCTGTCCCACAGCTCACAGGTGGGAACACGGGGTTAGGGAACCAGACCACAGCGAGTGAAGAGAGTGGACACCTCAGCTCCGGCAACTGTGGACCCCGGGACCAACTCTCCCCAGCACGGAGTGTTCAAAACCCAGAGGGTCTGCAGGCGTCTGCAGGCACAAGGAACTCAACTCTCCTCGGAGACCTGAGGCCCCAAGTTATCCCTGCGAGTGATCTGTCAAGCATAAGTACGAGCGTCCAGCAAACAGAGAGCAGGCACACAAGGAGTTATCATTGGCAGACGATAAAATAACAGCATTCACCTTCCGCAGAACTTCCAGAAAAAGACAAACTGCAGGCCCTCCGCAGGAGCAGGAGACAGAGACGGAAACTGCAGAAGCCACGGAGCTGACCACTAGAATATTAATATTTACAAAACTCTTGAAGCAGTGTCTGGCAGAGGAGAACTGTGTGTGAATCTGGGATTTAGAGTTCCCATTCAAAGGAAGGAGGCTCAGAATAAAGCCTTCAGACCAAAATAAAACCCACAAAAACAGTGTTCTGGACATTACATCACAGCACAGCCCCCTTTCTCAGTAACCAACAGAAGATTCAAACAAAAGTAAACTCAGTCTCGTTTTAGGATTGTGCTATCAAATACCTAACCACATATGGCTATTAAGGATAAGTTTAAATGAATTAAAATAAAGGTAACCATTCAGTTCCCCAGATCCGCTAGTCTGAGTTCAAGTGCTCAGTAAGCTCACGTGGCTGGTGACGACCGTGCTGGGTGATACAAAGAACATATCCACCGTCGTAGTAACTTTTATTCAACACTCTGATTTTTTTAAGTATTTGAATAATGGAATTAATACAGTCAACCTAATGGATACATGTACAACACTACAGCCAATAACAACAG